GAGACCCCGCCATAAAGAGGAACACACCCGGCCTACCAGTGTCAGAGAGCTTGGAGGTCGACGACGACTTCTTCGACAGACCCATCACCTGTCCCTGCTTCCCGTTGCTGGTTCTTCTGCGCTCCTTGTTCTCCACCGACAGCATCCCAGTGGCGGAATCACTCAAGCTACCCTCTGAAGGTGATAGGAGATCAGTGTCTGGACCCAAAAGCACCCGCTCCTCCACGGCCTACTCGTCTGCTTATAAACGGATCAGTTATATATATGATGTGGCGTGGTTTTGGATTCCTTTTCCCTCCCTCCCTCTCTTCTCTAGTACAGGTTCTAAAGTATTCAGAGTATTTATGATAATTTTAGTTTTAATTTTTTTTCAGGTATGTGTTACTGGCCTATTGTTTATTTTCACTCTGTGTGAAGTTATTAAATTTATAACTTCCTCAAGAGAGACTTACATTGTGCCCTACCACAGTAAAGTTTATATATATATATATATATATATATATATATATATATATATATATATATATATATATATATTATAATCAGTTTGCAGGATTGTGCTCATGCAACAGAAAGTGATATTAATTATTAGAGCCAAACTTTCAGATGTGCTGTGATTTGCGGAATGTGAAGTATACTTTTTTCATAATAGAAACATATTTTGGATGACAGAAACTTTTCATGTTGCTGCAGCACAAGGAAGGAAGGCCGGGTGCTGGCCACTAGTGTGTGTGTGAGCAAGTGAAGTAACAACAAAAAATATTAATTTGTGATTTACGTCCATTTAACATTTAATATTCCGTATTGTCTTACATATATAACACAACTCTTAAATATTAATTTTTAGAGCAATATGGCATTAGGTAATGATATTTCTAAAAGGGTATTAAGTGCCAAGGGCAAAATGACTTAAAAAACATTCGGGATGTGGTCATTATTTTTCTAGTAACCCTGTATAATACTTTCCTAAGATAGTAAACTACAATCTACTACCGCAAGATAATATCTACACCCTACGGTCCCATGATATTAACTACACCTTTTGGTCTCAGGATAATAACTACAGTTTACCTACAGGATGGACTACAGATATAAGCAGATACAATTACTTCAACATATGCAATTTAATATATTTATATATATCTATATTAGGGCCATTATATAAACAGGAAATTAATCTCCAGTTACCATTCATTTTTTAATGGGTGTGTGCAGTGACTGTCACCAGACATGAACGAGAAAAGTTTAGTTAATTTGTTTTGCCTGCCAAGCAACACAACAAATTAAACTCGAAAAACTTTGTAAATATTTCCAGACTATCCCTAATAATCTGGAAAAAAAAACTTGCTAGCAATTACAGCAACGGGTATAAAAGCCTCTTGAAAAAGAGCTGTCGAAATTTTGAACAATTTAATCCACTAAACTAACAATTTGTTTGTGGCCTTGAAGCTCAAAAATCCCATTATAAATAGGACATGAAAATTCGTATTTTTGTTACTCAAAAATATTTATATGAGATTATAAATGGCATTTCAATGTGATGATAATGTTATTATCAATGAAAAGTGTGACCGATCTGTACTAAAAGGATTTGTCTGTTTGATCGATGTGCTGTCAGACACATAGAGGGTATATAGAAATATATATTAGTGAATATACATTGGGAATTAACTAGACTCTTTGACTCAGTTACGGTTAAAAATATACATAATGCTAGTTGCAAATAAAATTACAATTTAACAGCTAACCTGACTTTAGACAAAAAATGTACACACACGAATTCATTTAGGTGTGTTTGTATGGGTGATTGATGTATGCAGGTGTGAATGAGTGATGTATGTGTGTGTATGTTGGTATGTGTGATGTCTGTGTGTGCATGATGTATCTGTGTGTGTGTGTGCAAGCGTACATATGTATGTATCTGTCCTTGGGCTTATAATTCCCAAGTTGACAGATTACAACTTCTGGGTTTACTGCATCATATGCTATCAAACTTCTTGGTCAATAGGGCACGTAATCTGGCGCCTCAAAGGAGTGCCCAACTTCCCTAACTGTTTTAATATATTCCAAACAACACCGTGTGTATGTGTACATTAGTGCACCATGATGGAAGTCCTCTTATTCCAATGGTAAAAAAAGATTTTGAATAGCCAGCAAGAATGAATATATATAAATGTGTGAAATTTCTCAGTCTCAAGTAGGCAAGGCAGGCCAAGAAGAATAAAAATTGATTCAAACGTGCTGATTGAAAAACAATATTAGCTAAAGAGGTAAATAGAAGCTTAAAGCAATGGAAATATTGACCGATTAAGGAATTATAATATATTCGGTCTGGAAGAATGCACATATTGAGACTCGCACACATACCTTATACAACCTGAGGGTGAATACACAATTGGTTATGAATTTATCCTAAATGACACAAAGATAATTGTGGATCTAGAGGAAGGAGGAATAAGTCAAGAGGCTGATGAAGGTGTTTGACCTGTAAGAGAAATAACATGATGAACACTACTGAGAGGCAGGAGGGTATAGTGACTGCAGCAGCAGGGTGGTGGTGGTGGTGGTGGTGGCATCACACTACAGCTGGTGGTGGTGGTGGTGGCGGTGGTGGAGGCAACACAAGCGAGTACAGAGTGGCTGAGTGGGAGGCGGTGGCACCGCCATCCCCCGCTTACCCAACTTCTCCACGTCGAGGGAGTCGCGGTTGGGGGCCGTGGCCGCGGCCTCCGGGGGGGTGGTGGAACCCTCGGCGCTGCACTCTCCCTCGGGGCACTCCTCCTCCTCCTCCTCCTCCTCTTCCTCCTCCTCCTCCTCCACCTCTTCCTCCACCACCTCGCCCTCCTCTGTTGCGCCACCTTCCTCCACTACTCCCTCCACCTCCTCAACCACGCGTTCTTCTGTCCCTTGGCCTTCGGGTTTGTCTCCTCCTCTCTCACCTTCCTCCTCTGGACGCCATGCGGGAAGGGGCAGGACGAGGGAAGGGGTAGAGGAGGATCCAGGGAAGGGAGTGGGGAGTCGGGAGGAGCAGAGAGCGCACGAGTGAGAACGTGAGAGCCAGAGTGAAACTGCTCGCTAGTCAACAAACCAGGCAAAAACTAGCTACTTCCTCATGCATAATTCAGTATTCCAGTCAGAAAAAAAATAATTTGTCATTTTAGCAGAGCAATTCAAATTAATAATTTAATGAAAAATGACAATGCAATCGTTGAATAACAAATGCACATATGTAAAGACTACAAATTGTAACAAAAAGGATAAATCGGTTACTATTGAGGGAGGGAGGGAAAAAGATGACAAAGAAAACGGGAGGTTGTCGTCAGGCAAAGATGAGGTAACTGACACGGAGGGGAAAAGTTGACAAAACATTCAAGGCGGAGACAGAGAGGCATGTTAGAAGCTGGAGCTGCTGCCCACATCCTGTTATGAGGAACGGGGGAGGACATGTGAGACAGAGGACACGGGGGGGTAGAGCAGCGGAGGCGGGCATGCCAGGCAGGTCAACGTACCAGCTTTTTCCGTCTCGGGGACCTCGCTGGTGGAGAGGCTCCTGCCCAGCTGACCGCGTTTACTTGCCCCGCCGTAGCTGACTCCCACGGGCCCATAGGCGGTGATCCGTTGGCTAAACTCACTAGCAGGATTAGAAGAAGGGTCTACATCAGCGTCTGCGCGAGGCTCCGTACTAGGGGGACTATTGGCGTCAAATTCAAAGTACTCAGGGTGCTCATTAATACTAACTGAGGAACTGTGGCGAACTCTGGGAGTTAAAGGTCTGTCTGTGTCAGGGAAATCTCCTTCGACTACGTCTGCGTCGATAGGGTAGTGAGGACGGGACTCTGCTACATTATAGGATGGGTCTGCATAAGTCCCGTGGGTGTTAGAAGGGTGGGCGTGGATGGTGTTAGAGGGGTGGGCGTGGGTGGTGTTAGTAGGGTGGCCATGTGCATGAGCGAGGTCGTGAGGGTGCGGGGTGTGCGGGTGAGAAGCACTGTCACGTCGGTCCTGGGGTCTCCTGGGATCATGGTACGTGAAGGTGGGATCGTAGCCGGCTGGTGTAGTGTACCGTTTGCTGCCTCGGAGGTCCTGAGCATGGTGTGGGTCTCTGTACCTATATTCCTCACCCTCGTACGGCTCAACAAAGTGTCCATCATGGTTGTAAAGCTTTCGATCTCTCAGATCCTTCCTGCTCCCCTTGCTGTTATAGAACCTCCGGTCATCAACCAGGCCACTGTAGCCCTCTGGCGGAGGACCTCTGTGGTAGCCTCGCTCCTGTTCTTCACCCTCTCTGTAGGAGTCAAGCTCCACCGGTCCCTGGTCCCTGTATCGCTCATGGTCCAATGAGAGAGAACTTCTGTACCGTTCTCTATCCAGGCAAGTGTGGTCTCTATAACTTCTGTAATCGGCATCCACAGCTACTGTGTTCTGACGTCTGTATCTCTCCTTCTCCACAGCCCCTTGCTCTCTGTACCTCTCTTTCTCCACAGCTCCCTGTTCGCTGTACCTGGCCTCGGCCACCACACCGTGCTCGCGATATCTTTCCTCATCCAGGAGGTGCTCATCCCTATACCGACCTCTTGTAACAGGCAGAGGTTCCTGGTACCTGTCTCTGTTGATAAATATGTGCTCTCGACACCTATCGTCGTCTCTTGGGTCTTGTTCTCGATACCTTCCTTCAATTCTTGGGTCTCTCAGCTCTTGTCCTCGGTATCTTCCATCACTTCTTGGGTCTCTTGGGCCTCTTATGCCCCTCGAGACTCTCACGTCCTGCTCGCGGTACCTTACTCCATCGCGAGCGTCCCTTGGATCTCTTGGATTTCTTGGGTCTCTTGGGTCTCTTGGGTCCCTTGGGTCCCTTGGATCTCTTGGGTCCCTTTGGTCCCTTGGGTCCCTTTGATCCCTTGGGTCCCTTGAGTCTCTTGGGTCCCTTGGGTCTCTTGGGTCCCTTGGTTCTCGTGGATCCCTAAGGTCTCTTTGATCTCTTGGATCTCTCTGATCTTGTTCTCGATACCTGCCCTCATCTAATGGGTCTCTTGGCTCCTCTTCTCGATATCTGTTTTCATCTTCTGGGTCTCTTGGATCTGGTTCTCGATACCTGCCTTCATCTATTATGTCTCTTGGTTCTTGTTCTTGATATCTGTCTTCATCTTCCGAGTGTCTTGGGTCTTGTTCGCGATACCTTCTCTCATCTCGAGGGTCTCTGCGATCTTGCTCTAGATACCTGTCTTCGACTACTGGATCTCTCTGTTCTAGTTCTCGATACCCTGCTTCATCTATTGGGTCTCTTGGGACATGTTCTCTGTATCTACCATCGTCAACAGGAATCTGATCTTGATTTCTCCTGTTGTCTACAGCTTCAGACTCATGATAACCCCTATCATTTACAACATCAGGTTCTATACGTCTGCTTTGATCAAGTGAAGCAGATCTGCTGTGCCTTCGCTGTTCCTGATACTTCAATGCCTCCGTCTGCTGAGTATCATAGGAGCTGTCATCACTTGGGTACCGCTCGCAGTCATCCACAGGTTGCGTGAGATCGCGTCTCCTCTGTTCCATAGGAACAAACAAGTCATTGGAGCTGCACACCTCATACTTCTGCTGTGGGGCACCTTCACTGAATACATGTGCAAGGATTGGATTGCTTTGGAGCCCTCTGGTCGGCTCCAACAGTCTCCTGTCCTCAAGAGGCGCTTCATCAACAACAGACTCACGAAGAACACTATACCGACGCTCCTGCTCTTCTCTGGACGGTTTCCAACTCAACTCTATCTTATGATTTTTACTTGGGTCCCTCAGGAGAGAACTTTCAGTATTTGCTCTAATGAATGTCCTGCGAGATTGGCTGCCAGCAGTAGGGCGCCGAGCCCTAGGAAGCGTTTGGCTGGATCCTTCCTGCATAGCATGCAGTGAATTAGGAAGGAACTCGTCTGTCATGGCACGGCCCTGCTGTCCCAGCGTCCGTCGGTCAGCTAAACGACTGAATTCAGGATCCAGGTCACTTGTATCCACCTGCTCTAAACTGAAGGAACGGTCTAAAGAGCGGTCTGGAAGGAACACCTCCGTTTCGGCTCCACTGTAATCAGAATCATACCCGTAATAAGTTCCTGCGCTGTGGCCATCTGCCAGACGGACTGAGCTTCTCCGACGGTACAGAGCCCGGAGGGCCTCTGGCGGGTGTGCCGCCGCCTCCGGGTTTTGAGCTTGTCTGTAACCATCAAGAGAAGCCTGAGACTTACATACATAGGAGTCCTGCATGTCTTCCCTTACCACTAAATCGGACTCATAAGGCACTGATTTATCTATTGAAAGTGAGCTTCGTGACTTGGCAGAAAGGTCCGGAACCCTCTGCTTGGACAGCACTTCATCCTCATACGTTACAGTCTTCTTAGGGTGAGAGCGCAGCACCACATCGTCTCGAGTTAGTGACCTCGTGCGACGTCTGTGACCTGAGTCTCTCAGAGCATGACCTCCGTCCCAGTGATCCATCAGAAATTCAGGGTCGTTATGCATAAGCCACCGACGGTCGTTTTCGCCGAGGCTCTGACTCTTCTGTAGTCGATGTCGGGCCCGAAGTTGCGGAGCGACGCTGACCACTGTATTGCTACGCATGAGGGCGCGTGGCAGTGGGTGTTGGCGCGGGCCCACCGCTAGGTGGGGGGCACTCCTCGACACGCCCGTCGCCACGCCCATTGAGAGAGAACGCTTGAGCACAGGAGGTGGACGCACGGGGCTGAGGGAACGCATGGAGATGTCGAGCAAGCCACAAGACGGGTCCCGCCCGATACGGAAGTCGTAGTCATTGTCAGTCGCGAGCGTAGGCTGGTCCAAGGTGACGTCATAGCCGTGAGTGTTGTTGCTCTTCAAGCTACTCAGGTGCCGCCTACTGCTCAGGGGAAAGGTTAGGGTTAGGTATGAGAAGAAAAAGAAAGAAAGGAACACCGAATTAGTTGACCTGATGGGGAAGAGGATGGCTTTTAAGAATAAGAATACAAAAAAAAAGTGAAATGACTGAAGAAATGAGAGAAGTAAGAGATAAATGATTCATAATGAAGTAGAATATTAAAACAATTACAGCAATTAAAAAACACAAGCCTGAATATAACCCTTGTATACAATGTGTGTTTTAGAATATTTCTTCCTGTAAAACACAACATAAAAATGACTGATATTCTAAAGAGAAAAATACAATAAACATCTCTCTCTCTCTTTCCACATCGGCTATTCCCAGCTTCACATACATGTGTCTAAAGTGCCCTTAAGTCCATCAACAAACTGGCCAAAGTTTGTTTACAATATGTTACAATGAGTGTTATTATATTAGCAAAATGCAAACCTTTAATAATTATTTTTGTTCCATGCCAATACTATCAGGAGCCCCAGTGACTCACAAGCTCTTGACACCTAGACTAACAATAAATTCAAGACAATGCTAACAAGATCCCCAATGACTAACAGGCTCTTTTAAGACATCCTGACCGCGAGACTTTGACTCACAATAACCTCAAGACATCAACATAAGATATCATATATATATATATATGCAACAATGATCATAAGAACACTGATCCAGGTATGTGGAGAAACCACATTGGAAAATATAAGAATGCTTGACGTGTGTTCGGATGTGTGGCCTTCATCCGAACAAGATAGACTTTTGTCTTGCTCAAAACTTGCAACATTTGATGCCTGAAACGGTTTCATAACAGATCTCCGTTGTAACCCATGATTCAGAGTTCGCGAAAGTCAATCTCTCAAACGTCAGAATCTGAGTCAAGCTTCAGCATATAGGAGGATTACATCGTGAGCGATTTCGTCTGGGGTCGAGTCCTGTCAGGAAGGATTGACTGGGACCTAATCCTTCGCTGCTCGCCCCTGTTTATCTAGCAGTAACTCGGGACCTGGTTGTTAACCGATTGTTGGGTCATGTTCCAGGGGAAACTTGCAAGGTGAAGCTCTTAGCTTGTTAATAAGAATGCAAAGTCGTCTACTCCTGTACCCATTTGGGTAAAAAAAAATCTCAAGGCCTCAGAATCATTTCAATCTTCTCATAAGCAAATGCCATGACATATCAAACCATCAGCTAGCTAAGACCTCTTAAAACCTCAAGACATTAAAAATCTCAATATTCGCAAGCCCTCCAAGGACCTATAAATCTCGAGTCTCCACTGGATAAAATAAAAACAACTCGTGATATTCACTAACACTGAGACTTTTAAACCTCCACGATTTGCCAACTTTACGTTTCTTCAATCTATAATCAAACCAGCGAGTCACATCCCCTAATAAAGCCCTTGTCACAAAGAAGGAAACACTTTTCCTGTTATGAATAACCCCTCTAACTTAAATCTCATAAAATAAGTTCAATCTATCTATATAATACTGAGAGACAAATAAATTTTAAAGTTAGCATTGCTAATTAATTTTTGACACTATGTCAATTTAGAACTACGTCTATTAATCAGGATTTTATGCACTTATCAGCTAAATATATATTATATATATATATATATAATTTACTACCTAACACGTCAACAAACTCACAATAAAAGTTAGGACTCACACCATTGCCTTAAAGCTAAATACAATTGATAAATATCGTGGCATGAAAAAGCTTCAGTTCTCCACTGTGAGAGGAGTGAGGCTAGTTATTATATACTTAAGAGAAGCCTACAGTATGCAAGTGGAGTTTATCCATCTCTGTAACAGGTCTAAATACATGTTTATGAAGCCTACACAATTGTGTCAACAAAATACATAACTGCGTTGGCAGGATAAACATTTTTCCCTGAAGACTCTCCTGAGATAAGAGGAACCTCATGTGGTTATATGAGGAGCCTCGGTGGTTATGTGAGGGCCATGTGTATTCATATAAGGCTATGTATATTTATTTAAGGCTAAGTAGTTATGTGACGGCTATGTGTAGTCTTGTAAGTGATCTTCATCCTTATTGCGAGGATCCTGTTCAATTCTGCACGGATTATATGCAATTCTACACGGATAATATGCAATTTTGCACGAATTATATGCTATTCTGCGAGGATCCTATGCAGTTTTGCGAGGATCCAATGCAGTTTCTGCTAGGATCATTGAAGTTCAAAGAGGATCGTATGCAGTTATGCGAAAATATTATTAAATGATGTGAAAACTAGTGTAGTTGTTAAGATAACTTGGGCAGTCTCATTTGTGTGAAAACCGTATACAGACAGAATTAAAAATACTGGTGTATACAAGTATTAGACAGGTATGTTAAGATTCGATACAGATATCTGACGACCCTATACATGTTAGTAGAGACAGATACGTGTAAACTTTATATATATATTACAAATAATGAAGAGGTTTTAAAGGAGTTTACGCCTAAGAAAAACCTCTATTACGGTGTGTTAATAATCTATGCTTGTACCTTGTACAAAATCTTGAAGAGCTAGTTTAAGAAACTATTCAAGGGGCATAAGAAGCTTAGACAAGTAAGTAAGTGGAGAGCCTATAATTTTCACTGGTTCTTAAGTGAGCCTATAAGAGCATCCAGATATCCTATAATGGTCAAGATCCCAGCATGTCACCTCAGAGTGGAGCCTCACCTGAGTTTCCTGGAGCCTCGCGGCCTCTCGCTTTGCGTGGAGAAGGCACTAGTCACGCTCACGACACTCTCAATGTCGCTGGAGGAGTCAGGGTAGTCACGCTCGTGGTCTCGTTCAGGTGATATGAGGCCGCCACGTCCACGCGAGTACCTGTAGGAAGAGGCTAGTCAGAAGGAGGAGGGGGGCACGTGTACCGGGCACACCTACACATAGAAGGGGGTCGAAGATAATGATGATAACTGGGAGGAATGAGAGGGAGGGTGAAGCGTGTAACTTACAGACAACGGAAACGTATTCTGTTACTACCTTCCCCCAATCAGGTGTCGCGTTGCTTCGCATGTGTCCTAATGTCTGACCGGTTTGACGTACGGAGCCACTCATTAATCGAAAGCATGTATAGACACCTCCATGTGTCCTTTTTCAATGAGTCGTCCGCCAGTTCTATGCACTGAGCCTCACACACACACACACACACACACACACACACACACACACACACACACACACACACACACACACACATACACACACACACACACACACACACACATCTTATTGCAGCATCTGTGTTACATGTAGATGACACCCACCTGACATTTCTGACACTTTCCGTACAGACCCCACCAACTTGCCACAGACGCCACTTACCTGTCATAGGTGCGCAGCTCAGTATCGGAGTAGCCGGAGTGGAGAGGGGGCCCCCCAGACCGGTAGGGCTGCATTTGTCGCATCCTCATCTTCATTTGGCGAGCCCGATCCTCCAGGTCCTGCGGTCAGGTCAGGCCAGGTCAGCACAAGGTGGGTACAGCACAGGTTACAATATGGTTGTAAAGAGTCGCGTCATCTCAGGTAGGGGCAATGAGTCATTGTATTGTGGGTTAGATTTCAGCCAGGCATTTTTTGGTTAGACAAGAGGTCGGTCTGGCCTAGCACAGGGTCAATGTTAGGTCTGGTCTAACACAGGGTCAGTGTTAGGTTTGGCCTAGCACAGGGTCAGTGTGGGGTCGTATCCACAACCAGGGTCAGTCAAGAACAAACCAAGAATCAGGCTAATTAGGGTCAAATTATCAGCCCAAGCAGATGGAGTCAATATCAACAAAAGCCAGGTTGGCAGAGGTCAAATAAAGAATCAAACCAACATAGGATGAATGTGGTATAGGCAAAAGTTGTCAAATCAAGAAGGTATAATAGATCTCAATCTGTCAAATTAAGAGGCAATTAGAAGCGGTCAAAATCAAAATCTATGTCGGCAGTGGTCACAGAGTTCAAGCCAGCTCAGTAAACGCTCAAGAGACACAGACGTGGCTTTGCCCCTCTACCAAACCCAGGTGGTACACTCAGAACATCAAGACACTTGAAGAGAAAGTTTCCATGGCTGTTTCCAAGATCATTCACAGCAGCAGCAGCATCGCAAACTGGAATGGTCAGATGCTGATAAATGGAACAGAGGTAACGAGCTCACACACACATATTACAATAATATAATATAATATATATATATATATAAATATATAAATATATATATAATATATATATATATATATATATATATATATATATATATATATATATATATATATATATATATATATATATATATATATATATATATATATATATATTAGGTTACAAGCGCATGCTAAAGGTACATAAATAAAAATAAAGAGAGAGAGAGAGAGTAAAACTAATGGCATTTATAACTTGGAGTAATCTTAGGAGGGCATCTTTACTATTGACTTCAATACTTTTCACGCAATGTATATATATAAATTCCATTCAAACCAGTCAAGAGTAACAGAGACTACAAGCAGGCTACCGGCGAGCTATGCAGGCTACAGGCAGGCTACAGGCAGGCTACAGGCAGGCTTCCCACTTCATACTTCCACACTCACAAGTTGGGAAGTGTGTGCTGATTATCTTTAAGATGAGAGAGAGAGGGAGGAGAGAGTGAGAGAGAGAGAAGGCCATGCACTCACATACTTAGTGTGCTTCATTCTCTCTCTCTCTCTCTCTCTCTCTCTCTCTCTCTCTCTCTCTCTCTCTCTTTGTATCCCTCTCGTTATGTCTGCTTGCAAGTTTATCTGTGTTTGTATATATATATATATATATATATATATATATATATATATATATATATATATATATATATATATATATATATATATATATATGTCGTACCTAGTAGCCAGAACGCACTTCTCAGCCTACTATGCAAGGCCCGATTTGCCTAATAAGCCAAGTTTTCATGAATTAATTGTTTTTCGACTACCTAACCTACCTAACCTAACCTAACCTAACTTTTTCGGCTACCTAACCAAACCTAACCTATAAAGATAGGTTAGGTTAGGTTAGGTAGGGTTGGTTAGGTTCGGTCATATATCTACGTTAATTTTAACTCCAATAAAAAAAATTGACCTCATACATAATGAAATGGGTAGCTTTATCATTTCATAAGAAAAAAACTAGAAAAAATATATTAATTCAGGAAAACTTGGCTTATTAGGCAAATCGGGCCTTGAATAGTAGGCCAAAAAGTGAGTTCTGGCTACTAGGTACGACATATATATATATATATATATATATATATATATATATATATATATATATATATATATATATATATATATATATATATATATATATATTTAAATAATAGGGGTGGTAGGAGAGGAAAAGATTAAAGTATTCAGTGTGAATCCACAAGGTCTTCTCTGAACACTATTTATTTTCTTCTTCGAGGATGTGGGTCCCTTTAATTAAACCAGTGGTGGTACCCCTAAATATATATATATATATATATATATATATATATATATATATATATATATATATATATATATATATATATATATATATATATATATAAGTTTGTGTATCTGATTGACTGTCTTTATGTCTGTCTATCTGTCAATCCATCCTCCTGTAGAGATAGTTCTTTTTATAGCTATGTGTTCCATCATACGGATATTAACGCAATGGACAGTTAGCAGAGTTTGGCATTATTCCCTTTATTGATTTCGGAAAAAATAGTTAACAAAAATTGAAATATTCGTAGGTCTAATATAGCAATTAAATGTGATATATTAGGCCTCAGATTGTCTATATCAGGCCTAGGATGGTTAGGTTAGGTTACGTTTTATAAATAAAATACATTCAAATCCTTTTCGGGTTTGTCCAAATTCAGTAACACCAGAATTATACTTACTAATTGTCCATCATGTCAATATATGTTCAATGGTCCACATCTTTACTAAAAGTACTAAGTAGGAGGATGGGCTGGTGTGTGTGTGTGTGTGTGTGTGTGTGTGTGTGTGTGTGTGTGTGTGTGTGTGTGTGTGTGTGTGTGTGTGTGTGTGTGTGTGTGTGTGTGTGTGTGTGTGTGTGTGCGTGTGTGTGTGTGTGTGTGTTTGTCTGAATGTCTATTTGTGTCTTTACGTATATATACCTGTGTCTATATGGATGTGAATCGTTGTGTTTATCTATTTCCAACGTCTACAAGAGGTGGTATTGAGAGTGCAATTGCTAGGATGGCAAGTGTTGTGTTGGCAATCCTTGCAATGGCCCTGTCAAACAGGTTAGGAGAGAGAGGACAGGTGTTTGTGTATAGGACAGGTGTCCGGGGGGGAGGAGACAGGTGTGAGGGGGGAGGAGACAGGTGTGGGGAGAGAAAACAGGTGTGGTGGGAGAGGAGGGGGGGAGGGGCAGGTGGGGGAAAGAGAGAGAGAGGGAGAGGGGAGGGGGAGGTTATCCTAAGTATCGATTTTACACAGTCGCGGAACAAAGGCAATGAGAGGAGATGGATCTGTTCCCTTTATTGCATCATCCTGCGGGCTGGTAGTGCAGCCGGACACACGCACACGCACGCAACACACACACACACACAATGGGAGGGAGGCAGGTGTGGTAATGGGTGGATGGGATGGGGTGGGAGGGAGGGAAGGGGAGTAAAGGGCGCCCCCATCATACCCTTACCTCAAGGTGGCGCAGAGGCTGAAAAGGAGGGCATTAAACGCCATCACCACCATTCCCATCACCACTACTTCTACCACTATCACTACCACCATCACCAACAACAACAACAGCAATTGAACTAATACTGTCGTTATCGCTTTTTTCACAACCACCGCTACCAGTATTTTCACAATCACTTCCACTCCTCACAAAATTAGTTCCTAGACATGTACGCTCCCCCACATATATACATACACGTGTACACACACACACACACACACACACACACACACACACACACACACACACACACACTTTTGAGAGGCGGGACCAAAGAGCCAGAGCTCAACCCCCGCAAGCATAATTAGATGAGTACACACACACACACAAACAAATACACACACACACACACACACACACACACACACACACACACACACACACACACACACACACACACACACACACACACACAATCCAATCCCCTAGAAGCATTAACAACTAGAGTGCCACAAACATCTACTAATTACAAGTTCTAAAATATCTACAAATTTCTCTATAATAAATTAACAAACACCAAGACACACACATATATATAATCCACATGGCAAACGCTCAAAGTACTACCGCAGGAGACACATCAACAGCAGCTAAATACACCCACAGAGAAGGGGGAAAGCCATTTTAATTTTAACACGGATGGGAAAAAAAGGCTGGTTGATGCCAGTGTATAGGAAGTACTCTGAACAAATGCCTTGGAGGATAAGGTTGCCCCTACTGTGCTGAGGTGGTTACCTGAGGTGATCTCTCCATGTAGGTATGCTGCCGGGAGGAGGAATACTGAGTGAGGGGACACAACATAGGGAGAGAAAGAGACAGGGACTCATAGCCTTTAATGATTACAACATAATAACGTCACATGGATACAGGCCCTAAGGAAGGTACGTCATGTCTATGGGGGACTATATGGAGATACATGAGGATGTGAGGATGAGTGAGAACTCATGACATGAGGGTGTTAAACAATTGGTGTGAGGGAACACTTGTATCATGAGGAAATGGTGAGGAACTATCAGGAGGGGAAAGCGCCAAGCCATTACAGTGTACTTGGAAAGGGGAGGGGAGGTCAGGATAAGGATTTGGGATGGGACTGGGGGAGAAGGGATGGTGCCCAACCACTTGGATGGTCGGGGATTGAACGCCGACCTGCATGAAACGAGACTTTCGCTTCATGGGAACAAGGGAACACTTATCTTATGAGGGGGATAACACTTGGTATGAATGAGAAAACAGTTGCATTATGAGGAGTTGACACCACGTGTGAGTAATCGAGCACTTGTATCATGAGGAATTAACACCAAGAGTGAGTGAACACTTAGAGCATGAAGGAATAATAAGTGGTATGTGACGGAACACTTGTATTATAAGTGACCAACACACTTTGAAAGTGAGAAAACACTTTTATTGTGAGTGAAGCAACACTTGCATCGTGAGTGAAACAACAATTGATGTGGAAGAACGTTTCTTTTATGAGAAACCAACACTTAATGTGTAAAACAGCACTTAAAATATGAGGGAGAGCCCCTCAAATGGTATGAAAAAAAAAAACTTGCATTATGAGAAACTTACACCTCATGGAAATGATTGAAGGAACATTATAATGCAGTAATGAGGAATTAAAAGTATGAGCGAAGGCATGAGTCAGTAATTCGGGGAGTGGGAGAGAAAACACAGGAATTATGAGATGGCCAACATCTGTTATGAGTGAACTCATCAGGTGTTGGACCTTCACATAAGTGGACCTTCATCTACACCATGTATTTGCTCACTCACAACAGAAGTTGACGTCTCATAAAATCATCTGGTATGACCGGCTGTCTCATACTAAACCCCCTGTTGTGAGTAAACATTATAATGAACTAACACCTGTTGTGAGGGGAACACTTTTGAGACAACACGCGATTTAGCGACGTAACACCATAAGCCATCAACACCCACCTGCGTGACCTTGTCTCTAGATGCGTGCTGCAGCGAGACAGGTATTTGGGGCAGCTGTCGTTTCTTGGGGGAGCCGGTAGGCGTAGCTGTGGCACTGCGCGATGGTATCCTCCCGGAGCCACCGTACCCGGGCCTGTGAAAAGAAGGAACTCTCAGTCACCCTTCCATGGCACCTCATGGCACCCCTTCACAACACTAACATGGAAAAAGCTTCAGCAAAACTTGTAGCACATGAAGCCACGAGAGGGGGAAAGCTTTTAAGAGACCACAGCTCGTCCTCTCGTTCTAATAGGTCGCATTTTCTGGATGGAATCGACCAATCCGTTGAAAATTGCAACGTATTAGTGGAGGGAGGGGAGATGAGGGGGCTTTACCTGGCTTCAGGAGGGGAGAGGGAGCGACTCGCGGGCTCAGGAGCGCGGCGAGGAGACTTGCTCCGCGAGCGCGACACATGTAGCGACGGCGAATCTGTGGGCGCCGCAGAATGGCTGCGGGCGCGGGTGGCGGCGTGCGCGGGCAGCGTCAGATCCTTGGCGCGGTACCTCGCGTCCTCGCGGGTGACGATGGTCGTCGTGCGCCGGCGGCTCCCAGGGGGCGACGACGTGTCGCGCCGCGACCGGTGATCCAGCCCCGACCCAACCATCTGTCGTTCCTCGGGCGGCGGACTGCAACCACACACTACGTTACTACCCTACGGTGGTGCCTACACCCGCTCCAGGGGCTTGGGGCTACATAAGTGGAGCTCAGGGCTACATAAGTGGAGCTCAGGGCTACCTAAGTGCAGCTCAGGGCTACCTAAGTGCAGCTCAAGGGCTACATAAGTGGAGCTCAAGGGTTACATAAGTGGAGCTCAAGGGTTACATAAGTGAAGCTCAAGGGCTACCTAAGTGGAGCTCAAGGGCTACATAAGTGAAGCTTGAGGGCTACCTAAGTGGAGCTTGAGGGCCACATAAGTGGAGCTTGAGGGTACATAAGTGGAGCTTGAGGGCTACCTAAGTGGAGCTTGAGGGCCACATAAGTGGAGCTTGAGGGCTACATAAGTGGAGCTCAGGGCTACATAAGTGGAGCTCAGGGCTACATAAGTGGAGCTCAGGGCTACATAAGCGCAGCTCAGGGCTACATAAGTGGAGCTCGGGGCTACATAAGTGAAGCTCAAGGGCTACCTAAGTGGAGCTCAAGGGCTACATAAGTGGAGCTCAAGGGCTACGTAAGTGGAGCTTGAGAGCAATATAAGTGGAGCTCAGGGCTACATAAGTGGAGCTCAGGGCTACATAAGTGGAGCTCAGGGCTACATAAGTGGAGCTCAGGGCTAGCTAAGTGGAGCTCAGGGCAACCTAAGTGGAGCTCAGGGCTACACAAGTGGAGCTCAAGGCTACATAAGTGGAGCTCAGGGCTACATAAGTGGAGCTCATGGCTACTTAAGTGGAGCTCAGGGCTACATAAATGGAGCTCAGGGCTACATAAGTGGAGCTTGAGGGCTACATATGTGAATCTCGAGGCCTACATAAGTGGAACTTGAGGGGTACCTAAGTGGAGCTCAGGGCTACATAAGTAGATCTTGAGGGGTATCTAAGTGAAACTCAGGGCTACATAAGTGGAGCTCAGGGCTACATAAGTGAATCTCAGGGCCACATAAGTAGAGCTCAGGGCTACATAAGTGAATCTCGAGGGCTACATAAGTGGATCTTGAGGGGGTACCTAAGTGGAGCTCAGGGCTACATAAGTGGACAACTTAGCTACGTGGGGGGAAGGGGGTGTGCTCTACAGCCCCTCCGGCCCGCCCTTGCTTACCTAGAGGAGGAGCCGACGCTGCTGATGGAGGCGCCGTCGGTGCGTCGTTCGCGGTGGAGGGAGCTTTCCTCCAGGTCGCTCATGTCAGACTCGCTGAGGCGCGAGGTGGTGGAGGGCGGGGACAAGTGGTCGGTGGAGGCGATGGTGGAGGCCGACTCCGTGTCCACGTACATGCCACGCCGCTGCCGCAAGGAGGAGAGAGACACGCACACGGTTAGTACACGGACATTGTAGGTGGGTGGGTTGCCTCCAGGGAGCCCGTGTCATGGGCTTCGGAGTCGAACCCACTTTTGAGGTTTCCAGGAAAGTTCTGGGTGGAGGAATTGATTGAGGTTGACCTCCAGAAGGTGGGAACTAGAGCCAGTGGTTGAGTTAGTGGTGATGCAGGTGGTAGTAGTGGAGGTATTGATGATAGTGTGATGTACAAGGGATGGTGGGGGGGGAGAGGGATTGTCAGTGATGGTGTAATGACTTGAGATTATATTAGCGATTGTTTTAAAGATAAATTTATTGTTTCGTGATGTCATCAGTACATATAGTTGTATCACGTGTTTGATGACGTCCCAGATATATATACTATAGTCATATATATATTATAGTCATCAAGACAACTCGTGATGTCACTATAACAGCTTCTGACGTCAATGATATGAACAATGACGTCAAACATGTATTAGATGATTTATTAGAAAACTTTATCTCGAGTGTTATTAAAATTAATATTATTATTATGTTTTACTGTACTAGCAGCTAGCACCTCCCTCCCTCTCTCTCTCTCTCTCTCTCTCTTTCTCTCTTTCTCTCTCTCTTTCTTTCCCTCTCTCTCAGAAATCAGACAGATAGAGCAATTGTAGGAGCAATTCCTTAATTAATAAGTCTCATTAGGTCCTATCTCCAGACACCTGCCTCTCACGGAGCAAATCACAGCAAGGAGGAATTGCAAATACATTGACATATGTTTCCACGACATTGTTCCCCCTGTTGATTTGTCTATCGCAAGACCAATGGATATAATGCACACGCTGGCTAGACCTTGACCCTCGTCGACCTCCGTCTGGGTGTATATTTGATAAGAGCTATATATAGGTGTTCCTTGTGACGCGAGCTTCATATTTGACCTGTATGCAGAATAAATGCCTTCAACACGCACCGGGAGAAACGGAAGGGCGCACACGCGTGCACGCACACGCGTGCACGCACACACGTGGGCGCACACACACACGTGCATACATGCACACGCGTATGCACACTATACACACACTGCACACACACACACACACACACACACACACACACACACACACACGCACGCACGGGTCGAAAGAGCCAGAGCTCAACCCTCGCAAGCACAACTACGTAAGTACACACATGCACACGCACCCGCACACGCACACTACACACACACACACACACACGCACGGGCCGAAAGAGCCAGAGCTCAACCCTCGCAAGCACAACCAGATGAACACACACACACACAACAGATACACACGCGGGTATTTGTAAACTCTCACACACACACACACACACACACACACACACACACACACACACACACACACACACACACACACACACACACACACACACACACATTGGGGCCTCGTAGCCTGGTGGATAGCGCGCAGGACTCGTAATTCTGTGGCGCGGGTTCGATTCCCGCACGAGGCAGAAACAAATGGGCAAAGTTTCTTTCACCCTAAGTGCCCCTGTTACCTAGCAGTAAATAGGTACCTGGGAGTTAGTCAGCTGTCACGGGCTGCTTCCTGGGGTGTGTGTGTGTGGTGTTGGAAAAAAAAAAAGTAGTTAGTAAACAGTTGATTGACAGTTGAGAGGCGGGCCGAAAGAGCAAAGCTCAACCCCCGCAAAACACAACTAGTAAACACACACACACACACAACAAATCAGCCGAGGCTGACCCAAACACGGATTCCAAAGTTATGGAATAACTCAACTATACCCCTTGACCTGAAGGTCAACACCAACCAGAACCACGGAGGGTCAATATGCATGGCTGCCTACGTGTGTACGTGGCCGTACTCTTCAGTACGTATGCACGGGGGACTGTGGAGTGCTTTCAGCCAGCTCTTTCGCGCCAAGAGACACGGATACATAGGTCACACTAGGCTGGGAGCTCTGGGGATGGGGCAAGGGTAGAGGGCATGTGGATGGCGTAAGGGTGAGAGGATAGGCTAGGATGTGGATAGGAGAGGCGAGTACAAGTACGTCTAATTCAGAGCGTTCTACAGCCACTAAAAGAGACCAGGAGTCGTGGCGCGGCATAGGACAAAATATTAACTGTGGCCTTATGCAAGAGTGAACAATAACTTCCTTTAAGTGCCGCTTGGGAAAAGCAGAGGATAATATACTTCTAAAAATGATCTTGAGTTTACCTAACAGCAACAACCTACTGAGTAAGATTGTCTACATTGTCAAGAGATCATGTTCCGTCTTGATTCTCTTCACTCTTAGCGTCTCGAGTCAGTGGAACCAATGTGGCGTGGTTGAGAATAGCTAGTAAGACTGTCAGCTGATCATACCGTCAAGGTTAGTCAAGAGATCTAGACAGTTTAGACAGTCAAGGAACCATACCGTCAATACAGTCAAAGGGGCCACACGGCCTAGAGAGTCATGCCGTCTGGACAGACAAGGAATAATATTGTATAAAGAGTCAAGAACCCCATGCTGTCTAGACGGTCTAGGGGCCCCATGCTGTCTAGACAGTGAGGAGATCATGCCGTCTAGACAGTCAGGAGATTTTCACTGCAGATGTTTCCCACGACAAAATTATTCATGTTGACCAAACCGCCATACTAGAAAGTGAAGAGACGACGACGTTTTGGTCCGTCCTGGACCATTCACAATCGACTTGAGAATGGTCCAGGACGGACCGAAACGTCGTCGTCCCTTCACTTTCTAGTATGTGGTCTGGTCAACATATTTCAGCCATGTTATTGTGACTCCTCGTCTGCAAAATTATTCATGGCTCCAGTATGAACCAAACATAGTCAACACTAATCAATTAGATCATATTGTGTTATTCGATTAAAGCAAATGTCTAACAGACTATATATTATACAGTTGTTATTCTTCACCCGAACGCTATATACTCTCAAACTTCCCATTCTTATTAAAATTATATAATAATAACAATTATACAAGTCAAAGTAGTTGGTGGTAGTAGTGGCAACCGAGGCTGAGGTGGGGGGGAGAGGTTCAAGACTTACCAAGTAAGTCTTGTCATAGCTTACCAACCTCCATAGAAGCCCCTCTCTGTATCTTCCTTCACAAACCTCACCACTGACTCCTCTCTCTCTCTCTCCTAGGTCAGCAAGCCACCATGGGCTCTCTCTCTACCACCACCACCACCACCACCACTACCACCATCCTTGGAACTCTGCCAGTTGAACCATTCCTTCCAGCAGACTGACTCCATTGCTGATTCCGAACGCGTATTTACTAGAGGAAGATAAGCCGTGAGGTGCTGGAGAGGTGTTGTACCACGACAACACTGCCACTTGCCCACCGTGGGGGAAGCACCCCCGGATGATGGGCGTAGATGGAGGGAGGGAGGGAGAGAGAGAGAGAGAGAGAGAGAGAGAGAGAGAGAGAGAGAGAGAGAGAGAGAGAGAGAGAGAGAGAGAGAGAGAGGAGAGGGGACAGGTTCTGGACAGGTTCTGGACATATTATTAGATGTGTTGTGTGTTCACTATGTGGCTTGCATCTTCCATGTGTTACTCGTGTTAACTGCTGAAGATGTTCCACTTTCTCCTTCTCTTCTTCCTCCTCCTCCTCCTCCTCGTCGTCTGACCTATGTCTCCTGATGAGTCCTCTCCTCACCTCCTACTTCGGTATTGAAGTTCTGTTTCCTTATCGAGCACATGTTTCCTCCCGTGCTCCTTATTCAGCTCTGCAGTGTGAAAATATTAAGGAGCTCTTCCCTGGCTCTGTCTGCTTCCTCCACTCCGGGGCGCCTCCACCCGGGGCGCCTAGAGTCCGCCTCCTTACTCATCTCGGCTCCAGCTACACTAACTTTTGATAACCTCTTGCAGTAGTGCCGAGGACCATTAAACAAATTAACATTTCGACTCTACGGGCTCACCATAGCCCGTGATACTTGGAACTTTTTGTTCCAGGTAGCGAATCTTTAACAACAACAACAACATTTCGACTGTCCTCGGGCTGGCGAGGGGGGGGGGGAGGGGGGGAATGTGTAAGCAGTTAGTGAAGGAGTCGGAGAACACGTCTCCAGTGCCACTTGGCACTCTCTTGTCCCGACGTCTAGAAGACGGCCTCAGAGACACTTGTCATTCGTTAAGAATCACCCCGAAAAGGCTTCCATAGAGATGGTATTAATATATTAAACGAGTTTTTAGTTTTCTTCCAAGAAAGAAATGATTCTAACAGTGTTACTGTTAGAATTAGATTCTAACAGTTACTGTTTACGTGTGAGACAGTTCCGTCAGTATGAACATATTGCCGAACTGGTTCAGACAGTGGCGTCACATGGGAAAGGGAGCCATCAGGAGAAGGCTGCAAGCCATCATCGCTATATATATATATCACGAAAATAAACACGTGATTAAAAATGTGAGTGTCAGACCACGGAGGAAAATTGAAACAGGAATTTCCTTAAGTACTTTCGTATATTAATACATCTTCAGAAGGAGTGAAGATATATTAATATAAGTGTGAGAGAAGTGTGACTGTGTGTGATAGAAGTGTGAGTGTGTGAGAGAAGTGTGAGTGTGTGAGAGACATATGAGTGTGTGAAGGGCTTCACACTGACCAAGCAGACTCGACATGGAGGTGACACAGAAACCCCTTAAGAAACTCTATAATTTATACTTCCGGAAACTCAAGCTGACTCAACTGTCTTGACGGAATGGTGGTCGTTGTGGTGGTGGTGCTGGTGGTGGTGATAGTGGTAGTGGTGAAGAAGCTGTTAGTGGTTGCTGTGGTGATGAGGACAACTATTGTTGCGGTGGAGGCTGTAGTGAGCATGGTGACAGTGGTGTTAGTGGTTGTTGTGCTGGTAGTGAACATACTGGTGGTGGTGTTGAAGGAATAGGGTGAGGCGATGGTGGGGGCAATTGTGGTTGTGGATGGGGGTTGGTATTGAAGTGTCTGGTGGAGTGATGGTGTTGTGATGTTGTGCCTGATTGTTGTGACTGGTGGTGAG